ACCAAGCCTGCATCAAGGAATAGGCAAGGCTACATGTGCTCCCTAGGGAGGTTCTAATGGGGAATCTTTTGCCTTAACTTTTCCAGATTCTAGAATTTCACTCCTTCCATCCTTTGGCTGGCCCTTTCCACCATCTTCAAAACCAACAGCCTTGAGTTTTACTTTAGGCATCATTAGTCAATATGTCAATGCCTTCTTCTCTTATAAGGACATTTGTGATTACATTTAGGGCCATTTAGGATAATCCAGGATAATCTCCCCATCTCAAGATCCTTAACATACAAGGTAACATTTACTGGTGCCGGAAATTAGGACTTCAAAATCTATACAGCCCATCATTTAGCCTCTATAGGCACTTTGAATTTGAGACACTTCTTAGACATTCAAGTAGAATGTCAAGTGGCAGCTGGTATGTTAATTTGGAATGAAGGAAAAGGTCAGGGATAATCATCAGTTTATAGATAATATTCAAAGTTACAGGTTGGGGCACCTGGGTGGCTCATTCAGTTAAGCATCTGACTTCAGCTCAGGTCACAATCTCACAGTCCGTGAGTTCGAGCCCCACATCGGGCTCTGGGCTGATAGCTCGGAGCCTGGAGCCTGCTTCAGATTCTGTGTCTCCTCTCTCTCTGCCCCTCCCCTGCTCATGCTCTGTCTCTCTATGTCTCAAAAATAAATAAAAACATTAAAAAAAATTTTAAAGCCACAGGCTGAATGAGATCACTTAGCAAATAAATACAGAGAAGGAATTGAGGATTACTAAGCATGGGTAATTCCAAGTAGATGTTGGAAAGCGAGGAGAAACTAATAAAGTAGACTAGTGAGTAAAAGCTAGTGAGGTAAGAGGAGAACCAAAAAAGAAAGAAGGGTGATTCTGAGAATATCAAGAAGAAAGTAAGTGAGAAACTGTATGAAATTGATAATAGAATCAGGAAACTTGATGTCCTTAGTGATCTAATTGCAGTTTTGGTGGTCTGGTCATTGCCTGACTTGAAATGGGCTATTAAGAATGGGAGCAGAGAAAATAATATAGCAATAATAGATAGCCCTTCTGAGAGTGTGGTGTAAGGCAGCAAGAGGCGCAGAGCAGAGTAGCAGGAGGAAAAGTCGGTGTCGAGATTTTTTTTTTTTAAATCAACTTTATTAAGGTATAATTTCCATGTAATAAAATGTACCTATTATAAATTTACAGTTTGATGAGTTTTTTACACCTGGGTAACCACCACTGCAATCCAGATTTATAACATTTCCATCATCTCCAAAACTTCTGTATACTCTTTTGCAGTCAGTCTGCCCCCATGCCAGGTAACCGCTGATTTTCTTTGTCATAGTGGATAAGTTTTGCCTGATCTAGAGTTTCGTATAAGTGGACTCATGCACTATGTAGTCAGTTTCTTTTGTTCATCATAATGTTTTTGAGATCCTTCCCTTGTGTCTGCCTCTATTGCTTTTTATTGCTGAGGGGTATACAGATATATCACCTTTGATTATCCATTTATCCATGGACATTTGGGTTATTGGGACATTCTGTCTTGGAGCTATTATGAACAGAACTGTAATAAAACTCATACACAAGTGTTTCTATAGAGGTAGGTTGTCATTTATCTTGAGGAAATATTTAGGAGAGCAGTTACTGGGTTCTATGGTATTTTATGTTGATTTTAAAAAGTATATGGTCAATTGGCAAGAGGTTGTACCATTTTACAATCCCACTAGCAATGTATGAGAGTTCTACATCTTTGTCAACACTGATATTGTTACTTTTTAAAATCGTAGCCATTCTAGTGAGTGTATAATGGTATATAATTGATATTTATTTATTTATTTATTTATTTATTTATTTATACTTTACTTATTATTTACTTAGAGAGCGAGCGAGCGAGCAGGGGGGTGCTGAGAGAGAGAGAGAGAAAGAGAATCCCAAGCAGGCTCTGCCCTGTCAGCATGGAGCCCAACCGGGGGCTCGATCCTATAAACTGTGAGATCACGACCTGAGCCGAAATCAAGAGTCAGATGTTTAACAGACCGAGCCACCCAAGCACCCCTCATTGAGATTTAATTTGAAATTCCCTAATGATTAATGATGTTCAAAATATTTTCATGTGTCTATTTGTTATTTGTTTATCTTCCTTTGTGAATTACCTATTGAAGTATTTTGCTGGTTAAAAAAAATGGGTTATGTGTCTTCTTTTTTTTTAATTTTCATTTTTATATTTTAGAGACAGCACAAGCAGGGGAGGGGCAGAGGGAGAGAGAATCTTTTTTAATTTTAATTTAATTTATTTTTAAATTTACATCCAAATTAATTAGCGCATGGTGCAACAATGATTTCAGGAGTAGATTCCTTAATGCCCCTTACCCGTTTAGCCCATCCCCCCTCCCATGACTCCTCCAGTTTGTTCTCTGACTCTCTGTTTGTTCTCCATATTTAAGAGTCTCTTCTGTTTTTGTCCCCCTCCCTGGTTTTATATTATTTTTGTTTCCTTTCCCTTATGTTAATCTGTTTTGTATGTTAGAAGTCCTCATATGAGTGAAGTCATATGATTTTTGTCTTTCTCTGAGGTATACACACACACACACACACATACACCACATCTTCCTTATCCATTCATCCATAATTGGATATTTGGGCTCTTTCCAAACTTTGGCTATTGTTGATAGTGCTGCTATAAATATTGGGGTGCATGCGCCCCTTTGAAACAGCACACCTGTATCCCTTGGATAAATACCTAGTAGTGCAATAGCTGGGTAGTAGGGTGGTTCTCTTTTCAGTTTTTTGGGGAACCTCCATACTGTTTTCCAGAGTGGCTGCATCGTTTAGAGGGAGAGAGAATCTGAAGCAGGCTCCATGCTCAGCCTGTTGTGGGGCTCGATCCCACAACCCTGGGATCATGACCTGAGCCAAAATCAAGAGCCAGACATTCAACCAACTGAGCCACCCAGGCACCCCTGGTTGTTTGTCTTCTTATTGAGAAGTAAGAGTTCTTTTCTGGGTACAAATCCTTTGTATATTTTCACCCAAATTGTGGTTGACCTTTGCATTTTTTAATGTGTCTTTCAAAAAAAATTTTTTAAATTTTAACTTAAAACATATTATCAACTTATTTTTTTAAGGTTGTTCTTTTGTTTTTGTCTTTTATGTTTTGTGTATGAAAAATCTTTGCCTATCTATGGTGGTAAGAATGTTTTTGTATGTTTTCACTTGAACTTTTATGGTTTTTGCTATTATGAGTAAATTCTGTGCATACAATGAGGTTAATTTTTGTTTATATAGATATCCTTCTGTGATTCTTTTCTCAGAGAATAGCCTTATCATATTTGTCAAAAATCAACTGACCGTATGTCTAGGGGTCTATTGCTGTTTCATTTTTCTATGTTTATCCTATGTGAACATTAATTCAGCTTATCCTAGGTCTTGAAATTGGGTAGTGTAAGGCTACAAACTTTACTCAAGTGTCTGAGGATCCTTGTCTATCTTCTCATTAAAATTATAATCACTTAAAAGTACATTAGAAGCAGAGATAGAGTACGTGGGCTTAGGGCTATGATCTAACGTTTTCATCGAGAGAATGACTATATCAATATCGGTTGAGTTCTCTCCCCTTTCATGCTGTTCGGTTTCTTTAGATAGGTACATGTTACTATCTTTCCTACAGAGTATATGTCTCCCAGCAGCAGGGTAAGGGGATGTACACCCATCGTTTACTAGGAAGGCCTTCCTTCATCCCTGAATCTCCGTGTTTCAGCCTAACCCTCCACCAGCTGCTACTTGTAAGTCTCTCTGCTCTATTTTCTTCAGAGATTAAACTTCCAGTCTCCTAAGCAATGGGAGGACAGCCAGGGCCTGTCTGCAGAGAAGTAAGGAAAGGAGAAGGGCCCTTAGTGTCTGATCCTCCTTTCTTTGTGTACAGATTTTCTTTCTTAGGTTTCATTCCACTTCCTGGTTCCTGCGTCCACTCCTTAGCCTTTCCGAGGTACTGTGGGTGATTTGGCTCTGTTTTTAAAATAATTTTTCTCTTAGATACTGGATTTTCTCACTTACTGGCAGTCATCTCTTCCCCATTTTTTTCTTTGTCTTTGTGCATTTTTAGTTCCTGTAATTTATTTTAGTGGCACTTCAAAAGGTGGTAGATAAGTGCCATTCTTCATTTCACCCTGCTATGTCAGATGTACCTTTAAGGTAAAGCTCTTTATTTTTTTAATTGAATTGAATTGTTTTTACAGTTTATTTATTTTGACAGAGAGAGAGAGAGTGAGAGCGAGAGAGTGCATGCATATGCACATGTGTGTGCAAGCTGAGGAGGGACAGAGAGAGAGAGGGAGAGAGAGAATCCCAGGCAGGCTCCACACTGTCAGCACAGAGCCTGTCGCAGGGCTCAAACGAACTGTGAGATCATGACCTGAGCCGAAATCAAGATACTTAACTGACTGACAAACCCAGGCGCCCCGGTTTGTTATCCTTTAAAGGATGCTTTGTAAAATGCCTGTCGCTGACTACCTGATAATGACTTATTTTTCTACTTGCTCATTGTCATTGTCCTGCTCTCCAACCTGCAAATTCTGGGCTGGGTACCTTTGGGCCCTGGGTTCTGAGTTCTTTGTTCTTCTGATGTTGCACCAGTGGTATTGCATGGTGGTGACAGATGTTACTTGGGTGATTTCTATGCCTTTTGGTATAAAGAATAACTTCTTAGCTAGAAATGATTTTCCCAGAAGCATAGACAACATTAAACATCACCTTAGACTTGAGCAGGTCTGCAGGATTTTTCCTACTTTCACGGAGTCTGCGTATGCATATTCCCTGTTTTAAACAATGTGTGTAACTCACATCAACTAGAGCCCTTGTTCCTTTCATATCTAGTAAGTTTACTTGAGTGCCTTGAAACCATGGTCTGTAGAAATCTACCACCAGCAAGATTTCTGAAAATTCACAAGGAGCTCGCATTTGGAAGGTCTCTGACAACTGCATCTGTGTTTTTCTTCTGGCTACGTTGCTACAGCCTAGATGTGAATTGAGACCTCTCCAAATTCCAAAGCACCACCCTCACTCAAAGCATCTGTAAGTATTGAATTGAAAAGGGTTTTCACTGAGTAGAGAGTGACTTGAGAATAATTTGATTTGGGGAGAGGTTGAGTGGAGAAAAGTTTGAATTGTACAGAGATTAAGTTTCATTAAGATTGAGTTCTGCAGAGAACTAATTGAATAGCGTGGTAGTGGATTTGAGTAACATATGGTTGGATTAAGGGTCATATTTCACATAGTAGAGTAAACAAACAAAAGTCCACAATAAATTCTCCAGAATCCTTTTGGGCCCCTCCTTTTTTGGCTGGCAGGGGGCTTTCTGTGTCTTTCTAAAGGGAAAAGGGGGAAGGGCTTTATCACAAGTATTCTCTTTGCTCTCTCTCTTTTCCCTTTCTCTTTCTCCTCTGCCCCCTCCACTCATTCTTTTTTCTCTTTCTTTTTCTTCTTCTTCTTTTTCTTTTTGTTTTTCTTTTCCTTTTTGTTTTTCTTTTCCTTTTTCTTTTCCTTTTCCTTTTCCTTTTCCTTTTCCTTTTTCTTTTTCTTTTTCTTTTTCTTTTTCAGAGAGAGATGGAGGGGGAGGGACAGAGAGAGAGGGAACAGAGGTTCCAAAGCTGGTTCTGAGCTGACAGCAGAGAGCCCAATTTGGGGCTTGAACTCCTGAACCTTGAGATGAACCATGAGGTCGTGACCTGAGCCAAAGTTGGAGGCTTAACCAACTGAGCCACCCGGGTGCCCCTCCTCCACTCATTCTAAAACAACAAAGAAACTCCTTTCCTTGTTTCTCTTACAGCAATTTCAAGCTCTTCTTGGACAGCCATATCCTTACTGTTTGAATTTATACTCTGAGTGCTCATCAAAGGTTTCTCAGAGACTATTCCATTTCTAGGAGGGTATGATAAAAGCTGCTACAATGATACTTTTTTCCTACCCTGTTACATTAAAGTTAACTAGTGATAAATTACTCTCCTTTCTTTCTGGAGTTCACTGAACAGAATGCCAGGAGTGTGTTAGTCAATATTGACGTGGAGGACAAAAAAGAAAGGTCAACGTGTGCTCTTTGGAGAACACTAAGGCAGATATACTTGTCTGTCAGCCTGTATTGGTATAGTCCTCTGTGGTTCCAATCAGTGAACTGGTCAAAATAACAATGGTAGTTTTTTGTTTTTGTTTTTTAATGGAAATATAATGAAAAGATGCTGCAATACTTTACTGTCACTAATACCACACATGTAAACCTCTGCATATGTATTTATGGAGTTATAAAATCCCCCTGGGTAAGCCTGCAAGTAGCTGAAGTAACAGTTCCCACATTAGATCTAAAATTCCAAAGCAAATTAATGTAACAGGCAATGAATGTTTACTAGGTGCTTAGCACTGTGCTGGATAGAAAAGATGTATGAGTCCCAGTTCTTTCCTTCAGGGAATTTCAGAATCTTACTAGTGGAGTAAGACATAAGCAGAACTAATTTTAGATAATATGCAAGAGCATAAACTTAAGGGTGAAATCGTGGGGGTAAAGCTCTATGTTATGGGACTTTGGAGAAGGGTTGTTATGGTTTCCTCAAACTGAAAGCCTGTGGGAGGGAAGTGGGGCTTCAGCTGTGCCCCAGTGAGAGGTGATGGGCGTATCAGGAGAGGACAGGATTTGTACAGAGCTAGGTTTGGGGGGATGGTTGAAAGAGGGTGAGGAACAGTTAAGAAGATGAGATCTGTGGTGGAGGAGTGTTTCTTGGGGAACACTAATGGTTGAGGTCAGCTAGGTCAGGGGAGCATTGACCGCGTTCTAGGGCAAAGAGACGGCGTTGTCACACAGAGAGGAAGAAGCCGCCAGGATCGGACTATACAGGAAGAACAAACAATGATGAAATTAACTGTATAGATACATTTCCCAGTGTTGCGCAACTCTGTTTGATTCCACAATGCTTACAGGTCTTCCTCAGCAAAAGGAGGGAGAAGGAACTTTTCCTTTCTCAGCAAGAAGGATGTGAAAGGAAAACATTCTTTTAAGAACTTAAATTAATTTGTTTTGCATAATGATGTGGATTAAAATAAAAAATTGCTGTTGACTCTGTGCCAACTGTGCCTGCCTGTGTCTGTTGAGTTGTCAGTCCACCTTGCAATGAAATCCATTTAAAAACTTATTTTCTCTTCAAGAGGAGCGGGCTCGTGAGGCTTATTCTGCGATGCTGATGAAGTCTCCAGGGAGGTGCTCGTGCCATCGGAGACCAGCAGCAATTAGTCCCTCAGCGTGAGGAAGTTTCTCCCGTTCACTCTATTCTTTGTGTAGATTCTAATAGTTCTTTAACAAAAGGCTTATCTTGTTTTGTTTTTTTGAAGGACTGAAGTGTACTTACAATTGCATTTCAGTCTTTTCAGAAGAGTCTGGCAGACTGAGGAGGCTGGAGATGGTCGGAGGAACATGGCTGCAGGGATAAAAGGCCAGTTTTGACCTTCAGAGGCTCTCAGAGCTCTTACTTTTTAAGAACCCATCCCAAGTCATTCTGACACGTGAAAATGCACCCGTGTCCTACGATACATTTCCTTAATGTGGAAATATTATTTGAGCTGATGTAATGTTACATTTGGTAAACATTTTATTTGAGTTTATAGATTTTAATTTTGCAGGTTTGAAAAAATTTTGGAACAAATACCTTAAAAATTGTTTTTTTTCATTTATTTTTGGGAGAGAGAGAGAGAGAGAGCATGAGCAGGGGAGGGGCAGAGAGGGACGGAAACACAGAATGTGAATCAGGCTCCAGGCCCTGAGCTGTCAAGACACAGCCCGACACGGGTTTCAAACTTGTAAAGCCGCGAGATCATGATGTGAGCCGAAGTCGGCCGGCCGCTTAACCAACTGAGCCACCCAGGCACCCCCGGAACAAATACTTTTTTTTTGTCTGTGCTAGGTCTCAATATTTGCAGAGGCTATTGGCCAGATAGCTGGAAGGCCATGGGCACTGTGTCTCTAATGCCCAGTGGCTAAAAAGCCCTGCAGGGAGGGCCCTTTGCGAGAGTTTTCTGTGGAGGAGGAGGAGAGGCCTGCCATCCCAACGCAGACGCTAGTAGTGGGCATGGGGACCCTGGGGCTGGCACTTGTACCCCTCCCCTCCCAGCACCACCTCCCTGAGTTCCCATGGGCTCAGGGAGAAAGAGGGGAAGTAGCTTCTGTGTGTGTTCCCTGAGAAACCCGTTTCAGCTCTCTGACTCTTCAGGCGGGCCCCGGCCCCCACCCTCAGCCCCAACCCACTTTCCTAGAGTTGCACATGGTGGACACAGAGCTTGCTTCTCCCTCCTCACTTCTGTATTCCTGTATTCCTGCAGCCAGAATCGAGAGTCTGTGCTGGGCAGATCCTCAGGGATCTGGGCCCGGGCAGAGGGGCTGTTCCCAGTGCCATGGTGTGGCTGCTGAGGCAAAAGTATCACAGGGGAAGGAGTGGGCTTAGATTTAGCAAGCAGGAGGAGAGGCGGTGGTCAGAATGGACTGGAGAGCATGCGAGAGCCCCTCTGGAGAAGTGCAGAAAGAATTCAGAGGAACTTTGTGAGGGATTGGATTCCTGCCCAAGTGGTATGGAGAGGCTAACAAGCCTATCACCTCTTGACGCTGAGGTGTTAATGTTGGTGAGATCTCATCTGTAGCCATTGGCTGGGGAGGTTGGGGGCACACTCTGGGCCCATTTCTACTGGCCTGCTTTCTTGACTTCTTTCCTTCTAGCACTTGGGGCTCATTCATTCATTGAACATGCTTCAAATTACATGTTAGATGCAAGATGAATAGTCTGTATGCCTCGCTTTTAAATTATTCTTGAATTCATGGGCAGGGATCTGGGAATTTAAGTCTGTGCTTGGAAATTGTTGGCAGAGTAGTTCCAAACACTGCCTGGGGCAGGAAATAATGGCTAAAGGATTTTAGGGGAGTTTTGAGTTAGCTCTTAAAGGAAGGATAGGAGCTCAACAAGTTCATGGGTGGGGTACATCGTACCCAGGAGCACAGGTTCATCTCCATAGCAACCATAGTAACAAGCATGTATTGAAAAGTTAGTAGGTGCCTGGCATCTTCCTAAACCCTTTACAGATATTATTTCATTTACTCTATCAGAATTCATAGACTGGAAGGTAATTTGCGAGTAAATGTTGACTGAGATGATAGATATTTTCTCTAACTTTTTAAAAAATGTTTTATTTATTTTTGAGAGAGAAAGAGAGAGACAGAGTGCGAGTGCGAGAGGGGCAGAGAGAGAGGGAGACACAGAATCCAAAATGGGCTCCAGGCTCTGAACTGTCAGCACAGAGCCCGACAGGGGATAGAACTCGTGAACCGCGAGATCATGACGTGACCCGAAGTCAGACACTTGACTGACTGAGCCATCCAGGTGCCCCTCTAACTTTGCTTTTGAACCCTTTAAATGGCTTAACCAAGCCATTACTTTTTCTGTTACCTGCCTGTAGCATTGCATTTTATTCGTTTTCTTACCAACATACTTACACATCTGTGTTTTATCCATTACTGTCTAGCCCACTCCGTTGGCAATTAACCACACTCTCTCTCGGCACCTCTCTTGGATGGTGGAATTTGTCAAGTGTGTGTCTCTTCCCTGCAGTAAGACCATAGGTTCCTTCCTTTGTGACCCCAATTAGAGTCACACCCAAAGTAGGTATTTTTTTTTTTAGGACTTCTTACCACTTTGTCAAATTTTGTCTAAAAACTGTAAAGCAAAGGAGTGTGATTTTTTTTTTTAAGACACAGAACAAAAACTTCACATGTCTTACACGGCAGCCATGTGGTGTACATCCAGTGCCCAGTTTACAAACTCTAATATAGAACATATTTGAAAAGGCTCCCAGCTAATCCACACTGAGAATATCTATGCGCTTTTAGGGGGATTTTGGCAAGGGTGTTTCTTTTCCGGAACAGGTGGTGAAGCTAAATTTGTGTGGTGTGCCTGACATACTTGGAGCCTGATATTAAAAGACTTCAGTGGCTGTAATGAACAGTTCTTCCCTTCTTTGTTTACAGGGAATCGGGACTTTCTCTGGGGTGTTGGGTTTCTGTTTCTGCCCACGGGCTGGCTGGAAACTGTTCTCAGCCTTACATTCTTCCACAGGGACAAACAGCTGGGCTGATGGCGTTGGGAAGCCTTGCTGCTTGGCTGTGACACGTGGTCCTTAGTTCTGACATTGGGGTCAGACTTGATTTCAGTGATTCCTTCAGGTCACCAGGAACAAGAGAAATTTCTGTAATTTCTTCCAGATCCCCCTGTTTATGTTACAGTGCTTCCGCAC